TGGTCAAAATCGAAGAGTGCTGAGATTTTTTAGGGATCAACATTCAGATACATACTTCAGTCACCGATATTGGTACAAGAAGGTTCAGAGATATAGACTTTAGTCCAGATAAGCGTTCGTTAGAATAGTATAAATATTAGTCGTTTATATAGCATATTTTAGCTGTTTTCAATCGAGGTCTGGTTTCCTCCCAATACTCCCGACATTCTCAGAATTTTTTTCCCAAATTCTCCTTGGTCTGCTGCTTTCGAACTTGTCATGATTTACCAGCTTACCAATCAATAGTCTTGAGAAGGTTTTTTTTTTCGTAGAGAAACTTCTTTCTTCTTTTCTTAATTACCTTTTTATTCTTACTAATATTGAACTTGTGGTTTAGAATAGCCGTTTACTAAACCTACTTCACTAGCACAGTTCACTACAACGGTAGTGTTTGCTAATCATCAGTCTCTTCTTGATTTCGTAGATAAATTTTACTTTCACGCTTGTGTGATTTCCTAGTATTTGCTCTCGTACTCACATTATAAAGTGCTTACATGAAGGTACATTACTAATTGCTCCAGGAATTAGAGCTCACTTTTGTTTTTGGCTTAGTTGTTGGCTTACGATTTTACATAGGCTTGAAAGCGACTTTCCATTTACTTGTAAAATGCTTGAAAAGAATGAACAATGCTACGCCTTAAGACTCTTACAAAACGCTACGAACTGTTTCAATGCTAACTTGATTGTCCGAAAATTGCAGAAGTAATCTGGGAACAGAACAAATTTTTATTTTCCGTTGATTGTCGATTTTCGTCTACTTAAAAGTAGGTTTGTATGTTTGCGATATTAAGGAAATAATGTGAAGTGCATTTGGGAGGATATTCCACTATTTTATTCAAGCAAATACTACTATACTTATAGACATCTATAGTCGTAAATGATAGAAAATATACTTGCTTCCATCGCTCCTCCCTTATCAACTAAATCACCTACTCACCAACTAAGCCAGCTATTATTTTGATAGTTTCAATCGTTTTGTGGTTAGGAGGAAGAAGAGAAAGAGAAGAAAAGGAACTGCATACTATTGCTTTACGATTCAGGTAACCATCAAAAGGATTGTATAATGGTAATATAATTGGATTAAATTCTGATTTACGCTGGAGATGAAGTACTTCATAAATTGTGACTTTGAATGTTAGATTCATTTGAAGGTACATTTATAGATTTAAATTACATAAAGGAACCGAATATATGTGAATACTCGTACATCGAAGTATTAAATAGTAGACCTAAAGATACAAACTTCTATCTCAAAACAGTGATCTTAAATAATTTTTCTCAGGATCAGGTGATTAAGCTCGCGGGTAGTTCTTGAAACAAGTTCGGTACAGGATGTATTAATTTTTATAGAAAACTAACGAATTTTTCATTAAATAAAAAGGTAAATACTAAAACTCTGCTGGTAATTTTTATATAATTAACAGCCATGGAAATGAATTGTTTCCGAAACTGTATCTGCTGCTTGCTGTCAGCTCGCTTTTTATGGTGAATTCGATTTTCCTAGCGAATCCACAAAAAGTGACATGCCATATGCTATCTGAGTGACAAATCATCAGCACCATTGCAAACAAATTCAGCAGAGTTTGAACAATATGTAGCCTTTTTCGAGAGTGCTTAGAGAGAATAAAACGCTTACTTTAAAGCATACTTTTCCGTTGACGGTTTGTATTTGGGCTTATTTGTGTCCTCGAATACATGCACACAAACCGACTCGTGTCAACAAAGTTTTGACATGAATTTAAACTTTTTGCTTTGTTATAAGCCTTTACGCAGCTATCGTATGACACAAATATATACCGCTATATGTATCCGCATCTAAGATACATAAAAATTACAAGAGTGCAAAATAAGCTAAGCCATGTCAGAGTTGTGGCTAACAAATCCCACAGATCATCCGTTGCATGTAAACAAATTAATTTATGTGTATATACTATATTCATATATTATTTATATATGTATAAGTAAATATATGAAAAAATTTACATAAATTAAAACATTCTCTTACAACTCTTCGGTTTCCCTTTATTTTGAACATTTGTGAAAATTTAGTTAAATGCAATGAAAACCAACTTGTTAGTCATTTAAGTTAAAGCAACTCCTTCAACACTTATACCAACCAACTACAGCCGCAAGTATTATATATGTGCGACATGTGTGTATCATCAACATTTTCAAGGTGATTCTCTCGGTGTAATTGTCACATCAACAGAAATCGCACGAACACAAATGGACGGAAGCAAGTGTGAAAGCAAACTGAAAGGAAGTGTCGCACCAAAATACTGTATAATTTTAACAATACAAAATACATATGAGTAGGTGAGAGCCGGATAGAAATGTGGGAACATGCAGTCTGTGTAATAAAAATGAAACAGATACGGTTTTCAATTTATGCTCAAGATAATATTGGATTCTTCTTAACGTAGTATTCCCGGGCTTTACTTCGTTGGCTAGTATTTTAAGTCAGATTCTTATTATTAAAGTTCGATTTCTGGCTCTCATTGAACTTCATCAGAGCTCCAATTGGGTCTATGTAGCTTTAAGCGATTCTCAATGGTACTTCTCTGTTCTTTGTGGATCTCACTGATTATCACCGGTTTTTTCAAAGTTCCCTATAACGCTCTGCAGTTCTCTTTAGCTCTCAGTGACTTGAATCGGCTTTCACTGTGTTCTATGCCCGGTTCTCATTGGTTCTTCCCGATTTTCACTGACTCTCCTAGTTTCGCAGCGACGCTCAGTGGCTCTCCCCGATTTTTGGTGGCATTCTCGAGTTTTCCCAGACCCTTCCGGCTCTCCTTTACTTCCACTAGTTCACTGAACTTGTACTAGGTAATGAACTTTCCTTTCTAGTTGTTCAAAATACTGTTCGTTAAGTCACCCTGGCACAGCGTTTTCACTGAAACTGAAAAATTCAATGATAGTCGGTTATTACTTGCTGATACTGTACATCGTAACGTTTATAGAAACTATATTGATATCTTTCCGGAGACATAACCATACATTTACGCCTATGCCTTGGAATTGTGCTGTAGAGTAAAAGTAATGGTTTGGGACCAGAAATCCAAGAAGTGAAACTTAGTGGTTCAAAAAAGATCTAAAATATTGGCGGTATAGAGCCTAGTTAACCTTACACCCGATTACCCTCAAAATCTCCTGAGCCAAATAATTGATTTAAAAAACGTCATGTAAAAAATTGCATTAAAAAGTCCCCGACTTATCAAGCTGTAATCGTACAAACGTGAAAGTAAGTATGTGATAAGTACCAGGCTAGTCGATGTATCATATTACTCTACATGCAATTACAAAACACAATGGCCACCGGAAAATTAAGTGGTTTGCAAAAGAAAGGAAATTGCATAAAGAAAAAAACTAAGTGAGCTTGACTTTCCACTTGCCACCAATATAACGTAGGTGCGCAACAAAGCTTTTAACGTCTGCAGCAAAGCTTACTAAGCCCGTTCACGTACCCAATCTTATTTATACATATGAACTTTTAAGTATGCCTTACATGCTGATAGTCGTGCATGCCGTATTATAAATTCTCGTTTACCTGAGTACTTGTAGGTCCTACACTTCAAGAGCACTCAACGTCCACACGCTTGCACATGCCTAAACACTTTTGCGCCTGCGTGTTACGTTAGTACTTTTTTATTTAACATATTTTACTGCAACATTCATTGTATTCTCTTCTGTTGCCGAGCAACACTGATTGCGAACGAAAGAAATTAAAAGTAGATCAAAGGTTGATAATTTTGTAACACTTTATAATACTTTTTTGTGTTGTTTCTTTGAAATGCCAAAAGATGTTTTGTTGGGTGCAAATGGCAAATGCTAAAAGATGGAATGAGTGTTGGAAGAGATAACGTTTGATTGGCAATAATTTTCACAAATTTCTATGCAACTTCTAAACGCTTCGTTTTCGTATTCTGTACATAGTAAAGAGTTCTCTTGGGTACCGAAAATTGTGAATGTCGCTGGAATGCAGATATTTGCACTATACATTCGCACCTAAATATTCATGAACAATATCCCTAACACGTTCCTGTTATATATTTACAGTGTCAGCTAGCTGCCGCAATCAACTTCATCTTACGGTCACTCTAGCTTATTTACTGGTTTTTGTTCAAAGTTTTCGGCCATAACAGCTTCATTTAGACTATACTTTCACTTAAGAAAAGATATCGAACAGAGAAATGGCGAATTGAACACAGCCATTATGAAAAGTTGCTTAACTGAACTGACACGTTGATTGAATTATACTTTCCTATTGACAAAAAACACCTAAACATTTGGTATTCATCAAAATGGGTGTGCGACTTTGATAACATATGGTATTATATAAAGAAGGCGCCTAATTGTAGGCAGTTGAAGTAAACATTACTTACATTTAGAACTATTTATCTTTGAATTTTATAACATAATAAGAGAATTCTCTTGCCTCTTCAAGATTGCAAGATATGCAAAAATCCTATACCAAAATATGCAAAAAATACGGTAACACCTAACTGCAGAAACAGAAATATCAGCGAAATGATAGTGTTTGTATACGTAATATGACAGCTAGCACATGGTTGCAATTACTTTACTACGCTTCATTGCACGATGGGTTTTGGACCGCAAGACCTTATATCATAGAAATAAAAGTGACTCTTATAATTATGATGAATCATGAACCTTTTCGAAAATTCACAATTTTAACACCATCAGAGCGCGAAATTAATTTTCACTATTTTTGCCATAAATGCTGGCTCTTAAGCAGTGCATTTGCAACTGCAAAACTTGTTATCTCACATACTCCCTGTTTACACTCATTTGTTAAATATACAAACAGACGTGTATATAAATATAAGTGCCTGTGAAGTCAGTCATCCAAATGCGCACAAACAAATACCATATATTCAGCAAACACACACAACCGCAAATATTGTATGTGGCACATATTCGATTTTCATTATTTTACTCACCCAAAATGACGAACGTATTTTCCAGCTGGCCTACGAGTCCGTTGATGCCGAAAAACACGGTAGAGTAATTTCCATCATAACCCACCGTTGTGCCATCTTGTCCAGGGGATCCGGTTAAGCTGGCGCTAGTACCCCTAATGTACACGACATGGTCCATGGTCGCATCAATGCATTCTAAGGTGTTGTTGTTAGTCCACTTTGGCCTGGCAAACTCCCGGCTACACCACCATTGTCGCGCGTACCACGAACAATGTCGTTAGCGCGACAATAACAAACGCCGTCGGACTTAGCATGAGCGCGACGCTCTGCTTGTGCAGCATATTTCGGTCGGTCTTGTATTCCTCGTATTTGTGGGTGCTTTGTTTGCATTTGGCTAGAGGGTAATGCAAAATCTGCCTAGGGGTATTTAGTGGGAGTGCGTTGCGCTGGAACTCATTGTTTATTTGGTTGTGTGTTTCCCATCGTGCCTGCGTTATGACTAGAATTGATAATGGTGACAAATTGCGAGAGTATGATGATGAGATTTTCCTTCGGTGTCTTTTATCCAATTTTGTTTTTCTGTGAAGAAAAGGCACAGAAAAAACAGTAAATGAATTTAATCTCCTTTTAAGAGGCATAAAATCGTGGAATCAATAAAAATATTTCCGTCACAAAACTAAACTAGAAACATGAAAATGACAAAAAGTTGTCTATCTTAGCTTTAGTGCCATCAGGCATGGAAAGAATAGTGTAATTAGCGCTAAAAATAGAGTGTCGTTGGGAAGAATCTAGCTATGGCATACCTTCTAAGATACGACTTTACAAAGATAATATATTTTGAAAAAAGTTTCAAAATTTCACTGGTTAGCAGAAGCGAATGAGAGGACTCCATTTTCGAGGATTGCCTTCGTATAAACAGCATGCAATGGTATACAGACAATCAGGGCTAGGATAGTGAATCCACGCACCAAACTGTCAATGTACAAGGAAAGGTAGCATGCAAGCATTTCTTAGTAGATCTGCATAGGAAGTATTGTTATTCTCAGTGATAATCAAGTGGCACTTCTGGCATTCTCGTTTCTTGAAATCAAAAAAAAAAGATACTGGAGTGCATAAAAATATTTAGCAGCGTTACAACAAAAATAACACTTCACATCGCATGTCTCACTGGGCATAGACGCATCAATGACAATTTTTTTCCCACCTAGTAAAATTTTAGGTCACTAGAGACTAAGTGGTCTCTGCACAGATAAGATTACTGTGTCATTTCTGCGACCAAGGGGCAGATACATAAGAGCATAAAAAAGAGCGCGAGAAAACACATCACAACCATTAACCCAGAGCTTTACTAAGCCTTTTTTTTATTTAACTGGGTTTTAATGAGGTGTTATGATTACAGACAAGCGTACAATAGACCACAGGTCGCATGCATTCCTTAACTATCAGTCTATCTATCTAACGACACTCCTTTGCTGAAAAGGCTAACTGCCTCTGTATACTGCCGTCCAAATTTTTATGAATTATTAGCGCCTGGGTGGCAGTTAAGTGGGAGTAGAGAATAGAGAGGGCGCGTGAATGTGTCACTTGAAATAATTAAATTGTTGGTTGGGCTTATTCCTTCTTGTGGAAAATTCCTCACCAAATTGAACAAGCTGCGGATTTAATTGTGATTTTTAGTGACTGTTATTGACGCACAGTTGAGTGAAATGATTGACATTTTACGAGTCTTTCATATAACGGGTGTTAATTTAATTTTCTGCTGCTTCATTGTTTTCGTCAGTTCAGCTCAGCTGTCATTTCAATGTAATAATTTCAACAATTCTAATTAGTCAGCTTTTTTTCATTATACGTGTTTGCTCTAACGACAGCTGAGTTGTAGTTTATTGCATTTGTTTTTCTAAAGAAAATTTCTCATTTTAATTAAATTTGGAATCGAGAGATTAAGCATTAATTTTCTATTCGTGGATCTATATCCGTACATTCTAATTTTATAATTATATTATATTATTCGTCTAGTTGGTCGTTTTCGAGTTATTTTTTATGAAAAGGATTTAAGTACTGCGATAAATTCATAACTAGGCGTCTGTTGACTAGCAGGCAGCAAAAGCTGCACTTTCCTGATTAAAGAAAATCAAAGAATTATAAATTATTTAATTAATAAAACTGGAAAAATAAATAATTTTATACTTTTGGCATGCATTTATAATATATTTTTTTTTGTTATTGTTGATTAAAAAGGGTTTATAACATGTAGAGTTTTTTAACTTATGTTCGAATTTCATTTACGACTGCTTATATATGTACCTTGTAAGCTATAAACGTGCCTCATACGAAGAGAGATCACAACGCATGTATTTACTTTCAGAGATAATTTTATAGCTATCCATGTAGGATATTAAATTCCACGAAGAAAACGTCTCTAAATATCATTTTCGTTTTAGTGAATATAATAATTTTATTCTATGCGATATGTTGATACTTTAAAGTTAGGTTAGCTTATGCCAAGTAACGGCTGGTTTTTAGACGTGTGGTTTTCAGTGAGGCAATACTTTTTCCGAGTTGGTCTCCTTGCAGCTATTACTTGATTTATACTCAGTTTGTTTTGCAATTTCATAATGAAGAGACTTACTTCGGAATAACGTAAATTGTACAAAATTAGCACCAAAAACATGGTTCGGTTAGCGCGACACAACGCGCGCTGCGTCAAATATTAGGTTGATATAATCGCCTAGCAGAGTCGGTTACTCGGGCAACCATTACTCGGTTTCCCATCACCTTTATTCAAGTGGATAATGCGCATTCTCAATGTTGCTGTACTGTATGCAAAGAAAACGCTATTGCTGCTATGGAGCACAGAAGAGAAGATCCGCATGAGTCCATCCGCGCGCAACAAATGGAGCTATGCTCGCCCGCTTTATGCAAGAGTTTGCGGAAGGATCTTGGTTTACGGACTTACAAAATCCAACTATTCCTAGAAGTAAGCTGGAACGCTATTTAGTGTTTATTATATGGGGAACACTATAGAGCCATGATTAATGACTTCTTCGAGTCTGAATTAAAGGATGTTACTGTGGACGTCTTTTGGCTTAAACAAGACAGCGCTACAAGCCATACTGCTAATGAAACAATCAATTTATTGAAATAAACTTTTGGTGAGTGTATTATCGCGCATCAGGGCCCTTTGGCGTGGTCTTAATAATTGTGCGATTCAACACTGCTGGGCTATTTTTTGTGGAGTTATGTGAAGTCGCTTGTGTACGGAGATAAGCGCGATATGTTTGACGTTTTGGAAGCGAATCTTCGACGCGTTATTACGACCAATTATGTGCCTATTAATGTACGCTCTAATAAGCATGTCTTCATATGTGTGCGGTTGCGTGATAAAACTAATTAGTCGCATGTGTGCCTATATCTTCGAGTGTTTCTGCTTTCTCGCGAATGCTGCTGCAATTGAAACACCAATTAGTGGTCAGCCAAGTGTTCATAACACACCAATAAAGTGGTGAAATATAAGGTTAACTAGTGGTGTTGCTGAAACAGATCGGCACCAGAATATTATGATTCAAACAGCTGCGGTTACTGTTTTAAGGTTATAGTATGTGCAAGCTATAACACGAGTATCTAGTAGTTAGCCATACATAGTCAGATAAATATGTATAAATGAACGTTCGTGTATCTTCACGCAACAACATTTTTACAGAAAGCGTATCTACATTGAGTATATAGTTGTTGTATGTGTGTGTGCAGTTTTTACTCATGTCTCTTGTTACTGCATCACTAGTTCAATTAAAATTTGTTTGGGGACTTTCGTCTCTTCACTCCGGAAATTGCTTTTCTAATGTCAGTTTATTTCAAGCAAAGTTTGATAGTATTTTTAAATGACTTAATTGGTGGGGAATATTTGAACAGGCTTGTGTGTGGTGAAATGGAGACCTCAGAAAGCATGTGTGAATTTTAATTAAATTGTTGGCAATTGCGCGTTCATGAGTAAAGTTTTCGGCCCTCTTTCGTGTCAACTGTCGCTTAAAAGTCTGATTGGTAATGACTTCCACTTTCGGCGTCCCTAACAAAACAAGTTTAAACATGTCAGCGAACAACTGTCGCGAGTTTCATACAAAAAAGTTTTAGAGCTGGCTTTACTGGTAATAGAGTTTGACTAATAGAGATATGTAGCAGTAGCGCAACCCTTCTGGCAGGTCATTAGCTGCCAACACAACCAGTGCGTATACACAACTATTACAAATGAAATAATACAATGTCTTTTAACGCACCGACATGCCGACCTATAAACTGACAAGCACAAGCACTTACATTTGTAAATATGTACGTAAATGCCAATTATATAAAAAATTACAAAATTTCTAAGTTCAAAAACTTCACACGACTTCCTTTCAGAATGTGGGCACTTGTCTCTTGATTAGCGATGTGTGGCTACTCTCAATCAGATTGATAACAAATTAACCGCTAAATGAATGTCTCTGACGTAAACATCACATATTTTGTAATTTAAGTGTAGATGAAAGTCAAGTGAAGGAATCCGACATACATTTGTGCTTATAAAAATAAATGCTAAGCAACAAACGCTGGTTTGTTACTTGGTTGTGCGCTTATTCCATGCAAAATTTCAATTAAAATTTTTTTTTTTTCGTGCAAAAAAATTTTTTTGCTCTTGGATGCAAAATATTGGAATTTTTTTTATTTCGACTCAATATCAAAAATTATGGAGTTATGAATTTTCAAATAAGAATACCAATTTTGAAAAAGTTCCTTTAAACATTTGCGTATACGAAGAAAATTATTTCATTATAAAAATAGTCAGCCTATTGTTTATGATTTTTTCTCAGCTTTCCAATGTAATATACGTTGAATTTATTTGACTTTTTTTTATAAACAGAAGGTACAGTTTTATAAACAAATAATTTTATTTTCAATTTGGAAGTATTTTTATTCAATTTTTTTTCTCAAAAACGTACATATTATGATTATTATAAAAATCCTGAAGCAGTTTACTTTAGTGAATACTTTAATAAAAGTTTGAAATGTATATAATTTACAGAAAAACCATACATAAATTCAATCCACGCTGTAAAAGTATAATTTGAGTATTTCATCATGCATATGTTAACTCATTTATATAATAATACAATTGCCGTAAAAATGTATATCAATTTTTCGCCAGTAAATTCCATTGATTAGTGTTATAATTCAAAAGTCATTAAAAATCCTTGAATTTGACACATTTAATAAATTCATAGTATTTCGCAATGTGATTATAGTTTGGGGAAAAACGCACATGCATTTTTTCGTTTCACTTGAGTTATCCCTACCCCTCTATTTAAGGCGTAAAAATAGTTTTCAAATATATATAAAACTACAGAAGCATACACATTCATTAATTTATATAGTATAGTCATTTATATAGTATATGTATAGTATTTATGTATTTAACATTTTCTATTTGCATAATCAATGAGTTGTCATCACGTTTCAATGAGAGCTCAGGCGGTAATGGCGACAATAGTGTGCGAAGGTTCTTAAAAATATGGCCAACGTGTTTATATAACTATTATGATATAAATGTACCGTTGCACATGTGTTTGTAAATTATTGTATATGCATACATATCTATTCAAGGAAAAGCAATTCCACTAAGTATTTTTAACAAGGAAATGAAGTGTTGCAGATGTGCTCATACAAATGTATGTGTGTATTAACATGGGAGCTTTTATTGTGCTGTTGCCGGCGGCTATTAATCTTACATGTGGAAATATATAAATTATAAATGACTGAGCTTTTGACGCTATCTAATATAAAAAACTAGTTTTTAAACACTTACAAGCTTATCCAAAAAACGAAAGCCTTATTAACTGAAAAATTAACTTAGTTCTTAGGGTTTCGTTCAGTAATAACTAAATGTTTACAAAAAAGTTCAAAGCTTTTGTTTACCATCCTGAAAAAAAAGTTCAACTGCTTTCACGTCCTTCTGAAATTTATCCACGTTTAAAGTTTAAGCATAATTAATTTTTCCCACTTAATTTTATAAACAAATTACCAAGATTATAACTTTTATGTCACTCTGTTTTTGTCGATCAAACAATTTCATGGTTGTACTCAAAAGAAAAAAAACTCATTATCGCTTGAAAAGTTTATTTAAACAATTTTAAATTGTTCATGCAACCAACTGAGAATGACATAATTCATATATCCAGCTGTTTTCTTAGTAGTTAAGTAATTATTCAGCTATTTAATTATGAAAGCAAATTGAACACCTTTCCACAAGTGCCAGTAGTATTTATTTATGTTTTAAACGGATATAAATTTATTGATTAATTATGTAATTAAAAGGCAATGTACTATTTTATCCACGTTCTATTAATTAATATTTTTCAACATATATATTGTTGTTGAGTAAAAATTGAATTATCGTAATGAAACTTTGTACACGTGTTCTTTGGCATAAAAAGTAGGGACTAGTTCGTAGAAGAGTATAATCGGACCGCTGCCACGACTACAAATCGCCATTAAACGAAAACATAAAAAGGTCCATTACTAAGCACTTAATTAAGATATAGAACTGTAACTTAGGACAAGGGATCGCAGCAGAAGGGGCAGCTGTGGGCTAAAAAGCTTGCAAAAATAGTCGTGGCCTCGCCCTCTATGAGGTTTCATTTATATATCTCCAAAACCATGTCATAACCTGTAATAAATTCACTCAGAATAAATCGCTTAAGCACCCCTACCAACAGAATGTTAAAATGGAGAATCAGATATCTTAAGTTTTACATCCAAGTTGGTATGAAAGGGGCTTTATAGAAACCAGGGTTAAAATAAGGTGAAACCCCATATCGCGGGCCCTGCTCAACGGGCTTCAACCAAATTCGGTAGACAACATTATTCTGACATTTTTATTCCGCAGTGTGAAAACGATACAATTTTAAAAACCATCTAATTCTTTCACTTGTCGGTATACAAATTATAGGTCAATCTGCGATATATATTATGGAAACTCAGAGAGAATATTTATCTGGTATTAATATACCCGCGTGCCAAATGGTTTGAATCGGATCAATAACTCCCGGGGACTCAGGGAATATACCCAATAGAAAATTTTTCGAACTTCTGGCTAACTTTATAACGCAAATATCGATCAATGAGTAATCTTAATGAAATCAAAAGTGTGTGTACTTACAAGTATAACAATGTAATGCTATTATCAGAATTTTAAAATATCCAGTTGACTTTATTCCCCATATATTACTGATGTCATGTGAATTAAGTTAATGAAACTCAGAGCTCTTCTTTTTCTGTGTTAATGGCAAAAATAGATAAAACCGGTTCAATACTATTCCTATCTCTCAGATACCAAATACAAAATTTTCAAACTTCTGGTTGACCGTATATATCGGTCAATATGTAAGATATCTTAGCAAAATGCCGAAAATATGTGATATTGGTCTACGCATTACCCAAACCTTGCCTGGATTTGATCTTTGCAATTTGCAAGCGTAAGAAATGTTCGATGACACCCGAACTTTGTCCTTCCTTACTTGTTCGCTACTGAATTTATTTTCGTTTACCTGCTCTATTCCAACGTGCCACACTGTACATGCGTAGGGAAAGACCTTGTGTGGCGTGGAAGCAATTAAATTTATTAGAACTAATTTGCATATGCTCACTAGACAGCTGGCCTCTATTAGCGCATGCATATTCACAAAGAATACACACGAGTATTGAGTATACACATGTGTTTGTTAAAATATTGCTTTTTAGAAAATGATTTTAAATGCTGTTTTTATTCACGCTATTCAAATTCGCTCATAAAACTAAAAGCCAACAATTAACATAAAACTCATTTTTAAACTGAAAGTTCAAAATGTAAGTTATGATGTTGTGTATAATATACGAGTTAATTTTTCGAGAAAAAGTTAGGAACTCTGAACTGCAAGAGTTTGATACTTGCAATAACGGTAAGTTCTATGAATTAGAAGAAAATAAATATATTAAGTTCTTACGATGAAAACAATATTTTCGAAAACAAAATTATGTCTCATATTTCCGATTAATACTGATTTCAAAAACAAAACAACTGCCAAATGCTTATTGTACCCATATCGATAATACAAAAGGTGTTTTGCTTTGATAGCTGTATTCATATACACTTATAAATATAAGAATGAATAATTATGAGAACAATTCACTACGCCTCCTTTTATTTTTATTTTATTAGAAAGGTGAAAACAAAAGACACAAACAGCCAATGTAAAAGAATCTAGAGTCACTCAAAATAATTAAATGGCGTCTAATATTGTATGAAACACATTAAAAAATGAACCTTAGATAATTTTATCTTTTATAAATGAAAAATGTATGAAATTTATTAGACTCTGAGCTCCATCAGGAAAATTGATTTTCGACCTGTTCAAGGCCTCAACTTTTGAATATAAAGAAATAAATATTTAATTTTACAATTTTCAACAGTTTCGTAAACTTTCACACAAAAATTACCACCGACAATAAATAATGCCAAAAGCTTCAAAAAAATTATTATTTTTCTTTTAATATAACGTTAGTTTTATAAGCTATTTCTTTGTTTTTACGATCTTCTTCTGAAAGCAGCTTCTTTACTCACCATAATCAGTTCACTTTCGCTTAACGACGAAAACAATTCGTAAGAAGTTGCAAAGTGTCTTACGGGCCGTTGAGGCTGATCTTTTAATTTAATGTGCTTTTTTATCAGATTTGTTTTTTCTTTTTAATTTAAACTTAGATCTATGAGTGCTATGGGAAGGAATTCGCATTCGCAATGAGAAGACATACTACTTTTCATATAAAAAGAAATATACGATTATATAGCGGTGAACATTGCATTTAAGTAAGTAAAATGTGCGTTATATGTCGAATTTGGTGACAACATTTCATATACAAAATATATTTTTGCTTTGAAAATTGACTAATTTTTCTCAAAAAGTATATGGCATTTAGTCAATCTGGTAGCCCAAAATAATATATGAACTAAATAACGTGAAACAAAATATTTTGAGCACACATTTTGCTATATTTTCTTACATGACAATATTAGGTCATCTATACGTATAAAAATCCATTTTGCAACATATTTATTTTAACTACGACTCATCTTAAGATTTTTGTTTCTTAATTGGTTTTAAGTGGCTTTTATACATATACCTATACACATGTAGATTCAAGCACACTATAGTTAAAATGTTGTAAAAAGTTTAGCTTATCTCTAAACAAAAAGTTTTGCATCCTCACCGCATTTTGAGTGAATTGATTACACAAGACCAACTGCCAGCGAGAAGGCAGCCAAGAGCACCAATACCAAAAAAGTAGCAATAGGGAAAAAGTTTGTTTAGTCTAAGGAATATTTAAAATTTTTATATTTTCATCAAAAAAAAATATTTATTAAATATTTTAATTCATCTATTAATTTTTGACAAAATTTTTTATTGAAAAATGCATGTTTATTTGCTTTTGAACTGAGTTTCTCAAATTAGTCACAATATATTCACATATTATATTATTACTCTGCTTTGAAAGCGTGAATCAGTTTTATTATTATGATAACTGCTATTACCTCCAGACAGTAATGCATTTACTGCCAATAAAACTGCTAAACTAGTGTTGAACTGGCACACACATTTATATTTGTAATAAATAAAATTCGATTATTCACTAGTTGAACTTTTTTTTTGCACTGTGTTGAATATTTGTTTTTGTTTGGAAAATATCATTAATAAATTAAAATTACACATAATATTTATCCACATGCACATATACTCCAACAATTTATCAATCTTCTTTTATGCTTACAAAATTCAATATATAAAATTTTTAATTTAACATTTTATTCACATTGTTAGGCAACACGCGCCTGAAAACGTGTCGGATAGCTGAGTTTTTAATTCTTGTGATATAAATTTTACCGTTAACTAGCCCTTGCGCATACGTTTATTGAGACAAACGGAAAGAAACTAAATAATGCAGTGAAAAACAGTTAAGCTGACGACTACGATTGCTAAAGAGTGTTTTTGGGACGCACATGATATCCTTTAGGACATAGAGCGCCTCTGTGGCAACTACGAAGAGAAAGTCTACATGTCTTACGAGTCTAAAAGAGAGTATACTGAACTTTGGTTGTATAATGAGAGCGATGAGTACAGTTTGTTTTATTTCTATTTCGAATTTTTTTTTATAAAATATCTCACTCAGATAACTCAGTCTCGAAAAAATAAAAAATGGCTCGGTTTGAGTGTGAGGATACAAGAGTTGCTTTAAATTCATTTATTCTACAGTAATTAATTTCTTATTTATTGACTTCATTCGCAAATGGTGAAATATTAATTAAATATATATTTCGTTATTTGCTTATTTATTGTATATATTATCTGTTGTGCCTTAAGGCTGATTTTAAAAGTAATATTGGTTTAAGACAATGTTTAATTCATTTAATATTCTCATAGATCTATCAAAGTGTTGGCTCTAGATAATAGTATCTTTTTGTTTGCTATGGAGCTGCTCAGAAATTATATAAAATCTTTAAACCATGTGCCGTTTGATATGAATTTGATGTCATATTATACAGAAAAACTACAATTTTTTTTTTTTTTGCTTAAATGCACTTCATAAATATGCTCAAATAAATTATATTCCTTTCCCATAATAAATGTTTTTCGAAAAAGAAGCTAAATGTTAGTTCTAGTTTATGTAGTACATAAACGGGTAGACATTGTTTATAAACATGTTGCTGGCAACACTAGATAACATCAAAAAACCTCACTGTGTAACAACCACCTGTTGATAATTTTCGTTTTTTTTTTTTTATTGCAAGTGGGTTAGGTTCGTATATATGTATAATATTATATATAGTCTTGAGCCTCCTTACTGAAAAGCGCATGCGCATTTCCCAACACTTTCAGAATTTTTAATGAATGAAATAACAGATACACACTGTTGGTGATTTTTTTTTCTTTTCACCACTTGAAGCTTGTTTGAATCAGCTGTTAGTCAACTGCTGATATTCTACAGGGTGCTTGCATGGAATAGTCAGAAACTTTGCGTTTATACTTTCCTTTAAAGTTCGAAAAACATATATACTACGTTGCTCAAAATATTTTCTTTTATACATGGTGTGAAAGTATATATATACATACATTATTTATATATATATATATTATGTATATAGTATATGTATTAATCTAAAGCTAGAACTAAAATATGATTACATAGATATTAAATATTAATTAAAAAGCCATTATTAATTTTCCCTCCAATTTGTCACACACTCTCATCCAAAATTTGCTTGTTCAGAACTTTTTGATCATCACCGGCGCTTAAAAGTTTTGCAGATGAAGCATGTAGCCAGGGACACTTAATGAGTGAAATTGTGGTTTTTTTATGAATAGTTATTTTAAACATTAATTTTAAGAAAAAAAATTTTCTTTGTCGGAGTTGTTTTTGAAGCTTCTGGTCAAGTTACAGTAATAAACTCAGTACAATATAATCCGTGATTTTGTATTTTAAGCCAACCACATAATGTTATCTTACTAAGCTGAAAGGATAATTTTTGTAAACTAATTATTCTCTAACAACACTTAATTTTGTGTACATTTTTTAAATTAGAGGAAATTTGTACCACAACACTTGATATACGAAATGGCTTTATTAATAAGTATTTTTCATATTTCTTGTTCATTCCGACAATGCGTATACGAAATCAACGTATAATCGGTACATAAGAGTAGATTGGTGATAACTATCTATTAAACTCGTTTTACAAACAAGAATAGAGGCAATTAAATCCTCTTCGTCATCTTTGTTTTACTGCTTATATTTTTACATGCACATATCATCATACATTTGTATTTGTTTGCTTGTGTAACATTATTCCGTTATCAAATAACAATAACTTGTTGTAGCAATATAATAATGAACTTGCAACCTAGTTCACATTGACCCCTTTGTTATTTCAATTTACTTATCTATTAGTGCAGTGGCATTGGAAAGCTAGTAGTGCACAGAGTAGCGGAATTATGTAAATGTGGCCTAATTGAATGTGAAGTAAATAAGAGTGCTGAAAATTGCCATGACCTATAATTCCATCGCACAATTCGCATTGTTCATTGCGTGATCCATGCAGATTAATCAGTACATATCGATCACAAATCTTTCACACGTCATTCTGGGGAATAAAATTTGTATTGCAGCAAGGTTTTTAAAAATTTTTTTGATTGCTGAAAATCCAAAATTTATTTTATTTGAAAATTATCTATATTTTTAAAAAAATTCGCCCGACTTAATAAGAAGTAAAGCACTGTTAACCAATGTATTGTTGAAAGCTTGAGCTACATGTACGCAAGTTTTCTCTACAGTTTGCTGTTACAATGTTATAATATTTGATATATATAAGTACTTACAAAAATATGTGTGTGCATGTTTTGAATATATGGAAATACATATACATATATATGAGCCATGGCCAAGCCAGCGGAGCGTTATTCAACTACATGTTGCTTCTATCTATGCGAGTCCATTTCCCCAGTTGAATAATGTGTTGGACATAAATGACTTTCAACTTAAAGTTCCTGAGCAACTTTTCATATCAAATTAAGCTCTCCACTACTTACGATTGCACAAGACAAATATAGCTGGACATTTTTCGCATTTTTAAACTTGAACAGAAAGTCTACAGACACAATTTTTTACAAAAAATATAAAAAAATGTGTTAAAGCGGAAATTGCTAGCATTTTCTGGCGCTAACTCTGATACCAGTGGGAGACTTGTGTGCAAATTACGTTAATGGTGGGCAAAGACAAGTGCAAAACAAGCAGACTTAAAGCACTATGAAAATATAAGGAAAATTTAAAAGCACACAATTAAAAATATGTAATTAATGTGCGTGTTAGAAGAGAAAATCTGTTTAGCTGAGTTTTATACCCAACTCTTGCTTTGTGATACTCATTATAGGTTTTGTGTCTCCACAAAAAGTCAAGTATGGCTAGATTCGTACATAATACACGTCTTTGTTCATTTAAATATTTAACAAATTCCTTATTTCCATAAAATTGCTGCTTTATTTGCTTATATAAAGATCGTCTATTCAACACCACTGATGTGGTTGTTTTAGTATAAAAATTAAATATTTTTTTTATTACATTTCCAGACTGCCATATTTTATCTAAACTAATTGCGTGGCAACTGCGCCAGATTAATAACTGTTGACTGCCCTTTTGACTTTTCGCAGATAAACACTCACTTTTTGAGTTTTTGGTAATACATTTCTGCGCTACTTTTTTATTTGTCTTCTTTTCTTTTATTAAATTTCCTTGCATGTGGGTTGCTAATTAACCATAATTAGTAACAAGGCCTTAGCTAAAGCAGGTTTCCAGAAAGCAAAGTGGAAGCATTTTTTTAATTACTTACAATTAAAAGCACAAAAGCAGAACATTGCATTTAAACTTGTATAGTCGCATATGTATATTCTAATAATAGTGTGAGGATCTCTGCACGCGGCTCTTACTTCAAAAAATTATTATAGTTTTGCGTTTTATTTTAAGATTACAATACATTTTAAAAAATATACTTTTTTTAATATCATAATACGAATTTTGTATAAAAGACTGATATAATTTTTTTGTAAATTACTTACCTATATATATTTTTATACACTTGCAACATATTGCTACAGAGTATAGTAGTTTTGAACTCCTGACGGTTGTTTGTGTCACCTAAAAATAATCGAGTTAGATGTAGGGTTATATAATATTTACATATATAAATGATCAGGATAATGGGACAAGTTGAAATCCGAGTGACTGCCTGTCCGTCCGTCTGTGCAAGCGATAACTTGAGTAAAATTTAGGATAAAGAACTTGGTACACGTGTTTCTTTGTAAAAAAAAAAAGTGAATCCGAGTTCGTCTGCACAAAACGCCATTTATCGAAAACGTATAAAGTGCCATAACTAAGCCGTAAATGAAGAAAGAGAACTTGGTATTGGTACAACGGATCACATTAAGGAGGGACACCTACGATTTGAATGTGGGCGTGGCCCCGCCCTCTAATAAGTTTAATGTACATATCTCCTAAACCACTTAAGCTACAATAACCAAATTCGCTCAGCATGAACCCCTTAAGCCAGGGGAAACTCGGTCAGTTGCATTACTATGACATTCACATATTGCTATGAGAAAGTGAGTGAAGTCGAACACAACCACAGCCACTTCGCATATAACACAATTTTAAATTTCACCAGATTCTTTCTCTTTCCACTACAGAAATCAAACACTAATGAATATATTTATACAAAACTTTGCAACAATAGTGTATGCCATCACAGGTTTAAAAATCATCAAAATCGAATCATAACTGTTCAAGCCCCTACATACCGAATATGTGGATTCCAGTGCGTATGGCTGACTTTTAGTACAATAATATATCGGGCAGTCTAAAAGATATATTTCAGGAATTAGGGGACACTGTTTCTTTGATAACAATATACTCTAATGTCAAACATGGTTTGAATCGGATCAATACTTATTTTAGCCTCCATATACCTAATATAAATATTTTCCAACTTGCAGTTGATTTTATACCACATATATCGCACAATGTGATAGTTATTTAATTAAATTGAGAAAGTGTCTTTCTCTAATCACATCGTTTCTGTGTGCCTCAAATCGATCAAATCGGGTGAGAACTTGCCTTCGCTTCCATATAACTGATATTGACGATTTTAAAACGTCCGACTGACTTTACTCCATATATACATATTTTTATATTTATATATTTATAAAATTGCTTGAAAATAAGTTCTCAAGTATACCTGAACAATGTCAAATAATAATGCACTCAGCCCTTCCATTTCTATGCCCCAAAGACTTTAGTATAATTTTCGCTGACGGGAAGTAAAATATAGTTATACAACTAAAGGAGTATATAACCTTCAAAATAAGTTAAAATGTTAACAAATTTGAT